GCATCAAAATGGATTGGGTCAATGTTAAGTGTGGTTATGATTGTAAATCATCCTGCCCAATTTTCTTTTAAATTATTGATCAGATGTAAACTATTATTCGCGAAAAGCATCCAGGGGATGCAAAGGGTACAAAAGTATGTTCCTACTCAAAGTGGAAGGAGCTGACAAAGTCTAAGAGCACTCAACCTGCACAATTATGAGTATTTAGAAGTTGCTAAGATGCTTCTGAGGAGGAAAAAAAGAAAAAGAAAAAGCAAGAAACTTTGGAGTTTAATTAAATTAAAACTAAAGCATTTAGGTGTAATTTGAAGTAAAGAATTCTGTCTTGTTTTATAATTTACTCGTGTTCATTAGAGGATAGAGAAGTATATAGCTACTATTCTTATCCCCAAATTCTGATTTGATTTTGTTTTTTATATCTAAAGTAAGATCATCATTTGAATTGCAAATCATTCACATCCCCAAAGTCCACTTGCTGGGCTAAACATCAACCCTTGAAATGCATGAGAATTTGACTATTCAGTTTGGGTTGAGCCGGAATTGAATCCTAATGCAATACATCAGTGAGCACCATGTGAATGTATTGCAGGTTACCAAAATTCAGTGCTAGTATTGGTACGCCTTAAACGGAATACTTACAGATATTTCATTTTTAGAACTGTTTCTAGTTCATATTTTATTTTCAAGCTGCAACACCTTTACTTATACCTTGCTAATGATAGGTGCTACATACATTCTTTATGCCTCCCTGCATATAGTGATTAATGTACCTATGGAAACCCCAAAAAGAAAAAAATGAAATATATACAATAATTATGATATAGAACTTACTCACTCACTTCTTTTGACAAAGGTAATTGTTCATTTGGCACGTAAGCTGGATTCTATCCGAGTACCAAGTGCACGTGCTATAATTATTTGGATGTTGGGTGAGTATAATTCCATGGGACATATAATTCCAAAGGTGCTACCCACAGTTCTCAAGTATCTTGCTTGGACCTTTTCTTCAGAAGCACCTGAAACAAAGCTCCAGATTCTTAATGCCATGGTCAAGGTAGATAACCACAAATTGCTTTTGTTTTTCCTCAACGAGCCTCTAGCTCAAATATTTCTTGATGTAAACTTGCACTTATCATAATTGTATTGCATTTCAAAGAAAAATCTTGCTCTTTTGTCATAATTATATTCCTTTCATGTTCTTGGCTTAAGTGGAATATTTGCCCATGGCTGTACTTTGCATTGTTAAGACGAAAACGGAATCTTTAATCAAACAGCGGAGAAGGTGAGTGATGCTTCAATTGTTATTGAGAAGCACATTTTACATTATAGGAACCTCATCTCCACTGTTGGTGATGATTCTTTTTGGTAGTTACTCCATTTTTTTATGAAGAAGATGCTTGAAATGAGATGCGAATTCTGTTATATACAGAACACAGTATGGTGTTTGTAAGTCTACATAAGCATCCAACAAAATTAAAATGACATGTATCTTTTTGACTTACTAACGATAGTTATGAGAGTATCTTTATTACCAGGAGTGTTTGGCTGTACTTTCAAGCACTCTTTTATATGATTAGTCTGCCCTAGGATATGATTGATGAGATGTGTCTGAACTGACATACTCTTGAGTTCCCATATGGAAATTCATTCTGCTCTTAGATCTGATATATGGGCTTTTTGAAAGTACAAGGTTAGATATTGCAGTAAACTCCTGTATTCATAGAGGAAGAGATGCTATCCAAGTGTGCAACTAATCTGAGTCTTTAATGAAATAATTTCTTTTGATAGTCAATGGCTGGATTTCATGAACCTCAAATTGATAGTTCAGGAACCTTGTCTCATTTAATAACAATAGGCTTGTATTTTTTTCAGGTCTTATTACAAGCAAAAGGGAAAGCACTGTCAACCTTCAAGACACTATTAAACTACGTACTTGAACTAGCTAAATGTGACTTGAACTACGATATCCGCGACCGTGCACGTGTTCTACGGAAATTCCTGGCCCACTATGTAGGCACTCATGAGTTGGAAGAATCAGCTTTCCAAGCAGCTCCTGGCAGCGCATTGCATGTACTTGCAGGGCATTTATTTGGGAGAGAAACAAAACTCATTTCTTCGGAACCATTAGCTTATCGGTTTTATCTTCCTGGATCTCTTTCACAGATGGTTCTTCATGCTGCTCCAGGATATGAAAATCTCCCACAGCCATGTAGTTTTTACAATGACACTGCTCAGGAATCCAATATGGTAAAAGATTTGAAGCAATCAGGGAATGGAGCGACTCAAAGCGAATCGTATGAAACTGATGATGCTGACACCGTATCTGGATCACTAAATGAAGAAAGCACATCTGGTTACAATTCTACAACTGGTTCAAGTGGAACTCGAGGTAGCCATGGGAGTGGGTCTGTAAGTGATGATGATGAGCACGGTGGTCCTCTGATTCATCTTTCAGATAGTGGCAATGCTCTTGAGAATCAGCCCAGACAAAGGTTTAATCAAAATTCTGACTCCAACGATCTTGGGGAATTAATGGCTAAAAGAGCTCTTGACTCCTGGTTGGATGACAATCCTGTTTCTACCCACAATTTGGTTGAATTGAATACTGTCTGTCAATCATTGGCCAGAATTTCAATTGGAGATATATGTAGCAGAGTTAAACGTAAATCCTACACTTTGTTAGATCCTGCAAATGGAAATGGCTTGAGTGTGAAATACACATTTTCATCAGAGGTGTCAAGCATATCTCCTCTGCTTGTTTGTATACAGGTTTCATTTAGCAACAGCTCAGTGGAAGCTATGTCAAATTTACTGTTGGTTGAAGAAGATTCAGGCATAAGGGTAGAATCTTCAGATCTAGAGCTGACATCAGATGAGAGGTTAGTGTTGCACTTGCAATTTCTTTTGGTTTATGGTCAATAATGCTTTTTTGGAACATGCCCTTTTGAAATTTCTTATGTCAGTCAACCTTTTGCTAAGTAGAGAAGAGGAAATAGATGTAACGGTAAGATAGTTCTTTTAGTACTGCTGTCCTTTGTAAAGGTACTCTCTTTCTCATCTAGAAAGCCACTTCTTCAGTTCCTCACTTCTTCTTGTTGCTTTATTAACTAGTGGCCAAAAGTTCATTGTTTCACTAGTTTTCAGGCCTTCACTGAAATACTCAACCAGATAAAAATAGATATTATCATAGATATGTCTCAGACCAATACACAAATGTCAATACATTATAAATCTCTGGTCACGTATTTGGTAAGATATCAATACTTGATTTCCAGGTTCCTGAAAGGTCAGTTACCCCTTTAATATGATTGACAGTGTAGCATTTGGTATTTCTCATTCTGAGGCCCTTTTTTTTAATAACCTTTTATTCTCCTCTATCACTATGAAATGTTCTGCCTTGTTCACATGCTGTCATTGTCTTTGCATTAAGATCGTTCTGTTTAGTCATGCTATAGCATCTTAGTCTTTCTTCCAGCTGGTGAGGGCGCTTACACTTGTTCATATTTGTTTGTAGTCCCAAGTTGTCCGTTAATGATGTGCCAACTCTAGTTCCAATGGAAGAAATTGCTAAGCTGGAGCCAGGTCAGATTATGCAAAGAATACTTCAGGCCCGATTCCACCATCATCTTTTGCCCCTTAAGCTACTTTTGTGGTGCAATGGCAAGAAGTATCCTGTGAAGTTGAGACCTGATATTGGGTATTTTCTAAAACCTCTTCTGATGGAAATCGATGTGTTCTCAAACAAGGAATCTCAGCTTCCTGGAATGTTCGAATATATAAGGAGGTCAGTTATTATAATTTGTTTGTCTTTGGTGAAGTATATGTGAAGGTCAATTATTTATGACCTTGAACCCTTGAAATTTGGTTGGTTATTGTTTTGTATCTCATGTCTGTGTTGAGAGATCAAGAGATTGTCGCTTTTATGAAACCAAATCCAATTGTGTTATTTGCAGACCTACTGATATTTCATTAGAGTAAGTCAACTGAAATATGTCATTTCCGACTCTATATGAGTAAGAATGAGTGAATTGCTGGATAAATATTGAGCCCGCATTCCTCTAATCATGACTTGTGGGGGTGCCTGGTTCTGGAACCGTCAGACGAATCAAGAAAGAAAGTAATAACCCTCTATTTATGACAATTTGAAGATTTCTGGCCTGGTTCTGGAACCATCTTAGAAATATTTGTTTTAGTTGATTGTGTAGATGACAATTTGAAGTTCTCCACAATTTATTGTTCCATGGACTTTATGCTCATTGTTTGCTTAGCTTCATTTTATTGTCCGGGAAACTCTCTTCTGACCATTTTCTTATCACTTGCTACAGATGTACTTTCGTCGACCATATTGAAGAACTTAATAAGCTTGAAAGCCCATTAGCAAAGGACAACTTCCTTGTGATCTGTGAGAATTTGGCTTTAAAGGTGCTTAGTAATGCCAATCTTTATCTTGTATCTGTGGACATGCCTGTTGGTACCAACCTCGATGATACTTCAGGTTTACGGCTTAGATTCAGTGGCGAGATCTTAAGCAACTCAATCCCATGTTTAATTACTATTACTGTTGAAGGTAAATGCTCCGAACCGCTGGACACATCAGTAAAAGTCAATTGTGAAGAAACTGTTTTTGGCCTGAACTTTTTGAACAGGGTTGTGAATTTTTTGACCGAGCCTGCTCGTTTATGATGAGACTTTAGTTTCATCTGAAATGAAGTGATCATTGGATTATTTTTCGGCCACTGAGGGGTTAATGATGTATATTTTCCTTGTATTGTTTGTAGTCTTGGTGGCCGGTCAAACAGTTGGGTTTTCTCCTTATGAAGTCAAGTTACTGCAGATGTAAAGATGGATTGAACTGTTTGTTCTCTGTTGCTTTGCTTGTATCAATGCATTGGTGTTACTTATTAAATCCCAAAAGAAAAAAAGAAAGAAAAAATAGTGATGTTTTTGGCAGAGCTTTCTAGATTTAACTTTTCAAAGGAAAAAAAAAGTAACACCAAAAAAGGAGTCAAGGGGACACTATATTCTCTAAATTGCCAGCCGAAACAAAATAAGCTATTGGTGCCGAAATAGACTTGCTTTCCCCTAGGGTTAAACTTGAGACATATTAGCCAAGTTCTCAACCCGAACAGACAAGCCAAGGCCCTCTTGACAAATATACTTTTCGTTCTCTCACAGATAATTTGAGTGGGAATTGTGGAACAGGTGGTTGTGACTGGTGAGACAATGTATAATGGAAACTGAACTTCAAACTAAAAAGGTATTGGCAGCATATGCAGAAAAAGTGGTGGTTACATCTTTGAGTATATCTGTCAATTATAAGGGCAGTAAGTATCGGAATTCTGAGGCATAAGGTTGAACCTCTATCATCTTAGTAAGTGGGGATTTCGTTTCCCCTCTTAGGCAATCCATGATTGACCTTTTGAGAGAGCAAGAGTTTGGTAATTGGCTGTATATCCATTCTACAAGTGATTCCATATCATCAGCAAAGTCTTTCATGTGCCATTGCATGAGCTTGGGAACCACTATCTTCTTCTTACTTGTCACTCCCACTGAAGCCTCTAAGTACTCTACTTTCGCTCTCTCCAGTTCATTAACAACTTCATCTGGTGTGTAGATCCTTAGCTGCAACAGCACAACATTGTTAAGACTGAATAATGAACTTGCATTTCACATAGAATGAGATTTTTTTTGTTGTTGTAATGAACTTACTGCTGGTGAAGACCAGCTTCCTCGACAGAGAGAAAACGTGACATTAGGTTCTGGATACCCGAGACCATAAGTATTCCTCAATACTCTTTCTTTATCATCTATCAAACCCTTATAAATCCAAAATGATTGAATTCGTCAAGACAGAGAATGATATGAAAGCTCATAGTGTTTTAGTGTCATGTAAGCTTTGGCTAGAGCTGTGCACTCACATGTTCAGCGTCTCTTGGATGCCTGAGGATGAAGTGCTCGATGGCCAATGCATTAAGTACAATACCACCAACATTAATCGCAGCCTGCAAAAATGCAAGCATAAATTTGGAAAATTCAACTTTGCAGACACACTTCTTTGACTTTTAACTATTAAGTTTGAATCAAGTATCATTAAGTTGGTACTAAGGGATTACTAAATAGTTAGGATGAGAAAGAAACCTAGAGAAAGTGTCTCAGGGTACAACAAGGTGCGTACCTTATTCACGAGGCACAGCTGTTCCTCCTCTGTAGAGGGCAAACCGTGTTGCAGAAATGCCTGAAGTGAGCATAAAATAATGAATTACATTATCAGTGTATCAATTTGGGGGGATTTTCTATTAGTTTTTCAAAATCTCTTTTCACTTTGAGGAAAAGAAAGCTTAACATGTCTTACAGTACATGCATTATGCAGACGTTATAGACATTGATCCAGAATGCCAACTTCTGCTTGTAGCTCAAGTAAGTTATGTCCACATTGCTAAGTTTATGCACCATAGACCTATAAAATTTCAAACAAGAAGAAAAGACAACGTGAATGTACGTAGTATGGTTGACGAGAATGAATGTACGAAGTAATCTTGAAAAGTACCTCAACTTTCCCATCTCAGGAAGACATTCAGATATATGGCTTGTGTTGAGAGAAGTTCTTGAGACTTGGATGAAATTCTTGTATGATCCAATCTCTCTCTGACTTCCATCAGTGTCTAGCAATATCCCATAAGGATCAAGATTTGACGCGTAATCATTGAATGTAAACGTGGGTGCTGCTGCTGCTGCTGCTGTCGTACAGTTTAATGAGGTTTTGCATATGAAGCTGCTTTTGGGTTTCTTGGAGGAAATTAGAGACTGTTTGACAACAGCATTAGATGAACCTTTGCTCTCCAGTGATGCTTTGTTCAACTTGAGATATACACTTATTAAGCATTTGATTACTTCTTCCGACAGCTTATTTGGTTTCTCATTGTCCATTTCCATATCTGGTTGGCTATGGTGTCTGCGGCTTCTCGAACTACTCTCAGCGATTTCCTCTGCGCCCAAAAAATTACCAGAAGAAATGGTGGGGAAGTCCAAGGCAGAGGCTCTTCGAATTCGATATTGTTTTCTGAGTTGTTGATAGTTTTGTGAATCAATATCTTTGACCGGTCGCGGTGGGGGAGGTAATGTTGGTTTTGAAATTACTTGTTTGAGCTGCAGCATTTCCCATTTTTCAGCCAACTCTTTCTCTCTATACAGCTTCAGCTTCAGCACGTTTACTTTCCTCTCCAGCCAAACAATCTCTTCCTCCGCCATAACCATTTCTTCAAGCAGATGTTGAACCTACATATATAATTTCTTAAGTATGGAATGTTCTGTGAGTCGGTGTATATATAAAAAAAAATGATAGATAGATACCCTGAGAGGGAGGGAAGAGAGGCAGGGACAAGAGCGAACAGGTCCTTGTAACGCACATTGCAGAACTGTTTTCAGTTGAAGTTGCCCAGCTAATTCTTGTCCAAGTTCTTCAACCTGTTGTTAAGACTTAAGAATATGAACATCTATCTAACAAGAACAAATCTAAACCCAGTAGTATTAATTAATGAACCTCTTCTTCAAGAAGTAATCTTTTCTGTTTGTCGTCGCTTGGCTGCATCAGCAAGTCTTCGAATTTCATCATTCAGCAACCCACCTGCTCCATCCAATCCCACAAGACAAAATAGGGTTATTATATAAAGAGAGGGTACTGACCTTAATTAATTAAGGAGGGAAAGAATCTGTGAATTTTTAAATATATGATAATGCAAAAGTAAACCCAAAATGAATGAACGTGAGTTTCACCTACAAACTTTAAGGACATTGTGAGGTGACTCAGACGTGATGTCCATGAACTGTTTAAACATTCAACCGTTTGTCGCCAATTCGATACTCCTCTGCCTTTGACCCTTATTGTTTTTTCAAAAGAAAGTGATGTACCATGATCACGAGCATAATAGGAAAATTAATGAGACTTTTTTGGAGAGCTGGGTATTACTTGAATAAATGAAAAACGCTAAGACGTCAATGTAGAATTTCGCTGGTTTTAACAAATCCAATTATGATCTTCTTCGACAACAAAGGTTTCGGTAATGCCGACAAATCCTACTATTATATAGTTAGATCTTATGACATTTTAGAATTTATATTCGATAATGACAAAACAGAATGGAAAAAGAAACATTAGTAGAGAAGATAAAGGATTCAACCACGAGGATTCCGTTTGGGAAGAACTAATTGGCAAATACTCACTTTTCTAACTGTTAATTTAAACTCATTTATCGTTTCAAAATTATTCAGAATTTAATAGTTTATTTGGACTAGAATTGACGACAAAACAACATACATTTGCTATGATTTTCGTCTGATTTCCAGGGAATTTGGACTAGAATTTTTTTTTATTTTGTATATTTTTTCGGATTGCGTGTATTTTTTTGGATAAGCGATGTTGCTTTTTTTAGGCTTTTGCAACTGCATTGTTTAGTTAGAGTTCATTGTAGATATATGTTATGGATGATTTTGTTAGTTTTGGTTGAGTTATATATCAATTTTCTGCAACCGTTTGTTCATATAATTATTTTTTATTTTTTTAAATTCTTATTCAACCTAGTTTCAATTGTGAAACAGAGCAATATGAGAAAGACAAACTCGTTCAATGAGTTCATCTCCTTATTCAAAGCCGGTTTCAATTGAGAAATCGAGCAACATAAGAAGATAAACTAGGTCGATGCATTTATCCCCTCATTCAACCCTAGTCACTACAGCAAAAAGTGGATGTAGCGGCAATAAAAAAGAAAATTAGCGGCAATAACAATAGCCGCTATATCATTTACCGGCCATTGATCTTTAGCCGTTGAAGCCAGGGTCGCTAAAGCCTTTAGCGGCATTTATCACAAAAGCTGGTAAATGTATGACTTATTGCCACTAATTATAATTTGCTTTAATGGCAATTGTTTGTGACAATTATGATGGCCGCTAAATCCAAGCTAAAACAGTTACTAACTCTTTTTTAGTGTCTATTTTTATAGCCACTAAATTCAAAAAAAATTGTCGCTAAAAGTCCATACCTTTAGTGGTAAATGTTTTGTGACAATTAGAATAGCTATAATATCCCTTCTAAATATGTATTAATATGCCCTTTAGCATCCATTTTAATGGCTAGTAAATTCAATTAAATTGCCACTAAAAGTCATTTTTAGCAGCAATTATAACGGTTACAATATCCCGTGTGGAGACATCACAATTTATCCTTTTATCGTCCATTTTTATAATCGATATGTCCTGTTAAATTGGCACTAAAAGTCTCAAGCTATAATAGCAATAGTTTAGCCACCATTAATAATAGCTAATACATTAATTCAAACAAGGTTCCAAATAACAAAACATACTAATAGTAATTCATAAAAACATAATGTATCTCATAAAATTTTAACAAACAAAAGAAAGTGCTAATCCAAAATATTAATATCACAATAACTTAAAAAAAGCATATAATGTTTGAAGTAAATAATTAATGTCATTATATGACTAATTGCAACGAATAATAATCTTCAAGTAATATTTGCAATTCTTCATCATATTGAAATCTTTGACCCGCTAAATTTTCGATCATAAGACTGTATAACCTGAAATTATAAAATATCTATGTCAATAGATGAAATATGTGAGCACTGTAGATGTAAAAGACAGAGATTATCAGACCAATGTAGAAAGCAAAAACATATGAACTTTATGCACGACTTGGCAATCAATCTGACAAATATAAGATATACAAAGCTAGCGTAGCTCCTAGATAAATTGAGTATTGAAAAGGGATCTATTACTTCAACTTAAAGCTGCATTAGAAGGGACTTGATTCTGAACAAGACTCAATAGCTTTTAACGATAGTAGTATAGAACTATGTATTTTTCTTCCCAGAACCACCTTAGTATTATTTTGGCATCAATAAAATATTACTTATGAAAAGGAAGAACTACATTTTGTTCCTTGTATACCCTTTTCCTTTTTGTGTTGATTCCTGAAATTTCATGATTCAGTGGGAATCCTTAGGGGAATCCTCACGAAGCGGTCCAGGAACATATGCTAGAAAGTTGTCTCTTGGTGAGAGCGTAACTTCTGAATGTACTCCAGCTAAGAAGTTGCTGAATGGTTTAGGGTGGTCAACACCTCAATCACAAGGAAAAATAGGCTCCAAATTATTTTCTTTACTTCATTTTTTCGCTCTTTCCTACCTCTTCACAGTTACTTTTGCTTCTATTAAGGAAGCAACTGCCCTCCTAAAATGGAAAGCAACTCTCCAAAACCAAAGCAGTTCCTTATTGGTTTCATGGACACAAAGTTCTCAAGCATGCAAGGGCTGGTATGGAGTTGAATGCTTTAATGGCAGGGTAAGCAATGGATTTCACTTATGAAGAAGCTATAGATCTTCTGTGAACCTTAATTTTTGTGTTGTCAAAACACTGCCCAAGCTAAAAGTTTTCCTAGAACATGTTTATTTGATATTTCAGAAGAGTTTAGAGTCAAGAGATCTCATAATGCAGCAAAACAAAACAAGAAAAGCCTCAACTCTTTTCTGTTTCATAAGGAATTTCTAAGGGAAAAGGATTTTGTGCATGAAAAAGAGTTATATTGTAAGGTCAAGAGTCACTTCAGTCTATCATTTATTGCAGTAGTTGAATTCACGTTACTATCCATGATGTCTTAACTGAACTACTGTAGTTATTTAAGAAAGATTTATCAGTTATTGAGAGCATCATTAACATCAACATCAGCAGCAGAATGTGGTGACAAAGAAAATGCTAGTCTTAGACTTATCTTATCACACTCTTCTATAGTTTTCACATATTGGTTCATAAACTTTTTTAGAATAGAATTATTAAACTTATAATTTATAGAAGAACCATATATCATATATTTTAAAACTTTCAAAACTTACTACTCCTATTTGTTGACTCTCAAGATATATACTCCATTTTTACAACAACAACAATAACATACCCAGTAAAATCCTACTAGTGGGATCTGGGGAGGGTAGGATGTATGCACACCTTACCCCTACCCCGGAAGGGTAAAGAGGCGGTTTTCGGGAGACCCTCGACTCAACAGAAGAGACAATAAAATTAGAAAAGAAACGAAGGAAGAGATCTGTAACAATTTCCTGTTATTGACCATTGCTCCTGATCTTCAATAGCACGTTGTGATGTTTTTAAGATTGACTGACTAATAACTATACAGATTAATACAAGTAAATTGGGTGCACGCCTTAAAATAGTAATACGATGTCTACTGAGAATGAAATCCTCCTTTCCTGATCATGCAAATCTTGTTTCTAGTTATATGACATTTTTTTCTATCCAGGAAGTCTCAAAATGTTAGACGATCCATTAATAATATTACTCTACACAATTTTCACAACTTCAAAAAATTCAATTTGTTTAAATACTCAAATTTTTGAACTTTGATGTGATATTTTCTCTATCAAACTTACTTTTCAACCATACTTAATAATTTCTTCCTCTACCCCTAGCATCATACACATGTCAATCATCATATGAAACTCCCATTCTAGTCAAACACAGTCATATAATATGAAATTGAGGAGTACTACTAATATTCCTGGGAGTTATTGACGACATTCAACTTATATTTCCCTTTCCTCTACCCTAATAATTTGCTTCTCAAATCAGGGTCTAGGAACAAGAATACAATGAATCCATCACGTTTGCCAGAAAACACATAGAAACCCCTTCTAAAAGTTATAATGTAGAGAACACCGATAGATGCATGTAGAGATATATGATGCGGGACTATGTAAAACAGAGGATAGATATTAAGTGCATAATCAGAGAATTAACAAACAACTAAACCCAGAATAACATACAGAAAGCACCAAATGATTAAACTAAGGAGTAAAAGAGGAAATACCTCTTTTACTTCTCTATAATGCACAAGGACGATGTGCTCCATCGGTCTGTAAAAGCAAATCAAGAGCAGTAGCGATGTTAAATTCTACAAAGGACCAAATCAATACTAAGAACACTGGATATCTTTTTAATATCTCCACCTTCAGTCTTTTTCTCTAGAAAGTATAGGATTTCAACCATAAAGAATGACCATTGTCTATATCTATGAAGTACAAGAATTGTTTTCAAAAGCCCTTGCACTAAAATATGAGCTAGAGAATATATTCCCTCCATTCTCTTTTACTTGCTTTTTGCCTTTTGCACAGCCCTAAAGGAAAACATTAACTTCCTCTTTTGTATTCTTCGATATCAATTTGTTACTACTTCCTTTCAACACATTAATCTCTCTCCTAATTTATTAGAGTAAGGATAAAGTTAAAAAAAAAAAGAGAATCAATTCTCTCCTGTTTTCCTGAAACAACAAACATTTTTAGTAAACGGGACAAGTAAAACGGAATGGATGAGTACTAAGCCCCACAAATGAAGGA